ACTTAGCAACTTGAATTACGTTAAAGATGAATATAATAATGAGGGCACATATGGCTTAACAAAAAACAAAAACAAATTGGCAACTCAGCACAACTTAGTCCTTAATATTTATCACTTAAAATTTAAGGTTACTTCAATACACGACAGACAATGTTAAATGCAAAAGTTACAAACACAAATAAGGACGAAATTGTCCCTCACTCTCGAACCATTACTGATACCTTCGGCAAGAAGAAAGTGGTGGCCCAGAGCGAACTTCACAATCTAAAGAACGACTGGTATAAAAATAAAGCACGTGAAATGAGAAAACTTGCAGATCAACACAAGATGAGCGAATTTTTCAATTCCACTAGAACATTTTATGGGCCAATCATTCGTGGCGGAGCCCCCCCCCCCCCTCTTCTCATCCGAAGGTAACTCCCTAATTAAAGACGAAGAAGGCATCCTTCAGCTCTGGAAAGAGCACTACCATTCGCTGCTCAAAAGAAACATCGATATGGATGTCCTGATTATCCAGCTCGTCCCTCAGCATCCAGAGCTGACCCACCGCAGCTATCCCCAATCCCTGGATGAAGTAGCCACTGCCATCAAACAGATGAAAAACAACAAAGCCTCAGGGTCTGATGGAGTCCCAGACGAGGTGTATAAAGCAGGAGGCCCTCTGCTTACCAGCCGTCTCCACTCTCTCTCCTGGAGCAAAAATGGGAAAAGGAGGAAATCCCCCAAGCTCTTAAAGACGTCTCCATCATCAACATTTATAAGAACAGGGGAGACCGGTCTGACTGTGGCAACTACCACGGGATCTCGCTGCTGTCCGTAGCTGATAAGATTGTCGCCTGAGTCCTCCTAAACAGTCCTCCTCTCAGTCCCAGACTTCCATGAAATATCACAGTGTGAAGTGTGGAACAACTTACCCCCACCCATCCGAGCAAAGACTACGCTCCCTTCCTTTAAATCATCTCTTGAAAAATATCTATTGTCTAAGTATTAATATTTCTTGTAAACCTACTATATTTACAGTACCTGCATTTATTGTAACATCAAAACCGTTTTATTGGAAATTATCATGTAAATAGGTAAGAAATTACCATTGCAATAAACATATTTGCAAACTAGACATAATCCTGACAGTTCTGTCCTCTTGTTCAACCTTATTACTGTGCAACCCATGCAGTACTGCTCCCCCATTATACTTATGTTTTCAATTCCACTGTAATTTATGTATATACTTAAAATATAAATAAAAAATAAAATAAAAATTAAATAAATAAATAAAATAAATAAATATTAGAGTGATAACACTAGTAACATTATGAGATGTTCTTATTACTACCATGCTATTATACTATTCCAGATGATACTAAATGTTACATAATACTTCCTTGAGGTAAATGTATAGTATATATCAGGTGCCTAAAAGAGAGCGCAGGTTCTCAACTGGCTCAGCCATGTTAATATTGTTATTATTATCCACTCTATATCTGTGTTTTTCTGGCTAAATAAACTGTTTCAATTCAATTTAATTCAATTCTTCCTGAGGCGGAAAATTGGCAAACAAGCTCCAACGCCAGAAAGACGCTGCCGCCGCCCCTTCCGCACTAGATGTAGCCCTCCACATGTGCAACATCTGTGGACGACACTGCCGGTCCCGTATCGGCCTCTCTAGTCACCTCAGAGCTGACCAACGGTATCATCCTTAATAATTCTTATCACTGTATCATAGCTGGATGATCGTCATACTCGATTCCGAGTGACAGCAAAGTAGTAGTAGTAGTAGTACAGTAGTAGTTGAAGGAAATCTGCCATGATGTCAGGGTAGAACCGACCCTCCTTCCATTGGACAGTGAGAATTTCCAACATAGGACTTCAAACACATCCAACGAAGCCCGTGCTGACGTCAGTGCTCGAGGATTCTGGGCGGGGACAGCGAGCTTTCTTCGACATCAGGATTTTTTATCCCATGGCCGCAAGTTACCGTAACTTAGCTCTCGATGCTGCACGCAGGAGGAACGAGAACGACAAGATAAGAGCATACGGAGAGAGAATTCAGAACGTTGATCAAGGCAGCTTCACTCCTCTAGTGTTCACAACCTCTGGTGGGATGGGACCAAGTGCAAGATGCTTCTACGCCAGACTCGCGGAGGTGATATCCGAACAGAAGCAGCAGCCCAGAAGATATGTTACAGCCTGGATGAGATGTCGACTGTTGCTTCCCCAGGGGTGTAATTATCGCAATCGATCATCAGATGTTATCCCACAAATAGTATATAACACAACCCGTTACTACCACACCACAAAAAAATAAAAAACACTTTAACCACAGTATGTTCTCACTTGGCCCTTCAGGCTGCTGGGTTGTCATGTCATCCACTTATTTATCTTCTTCCTATACTTGTGAAAATATTATTATTATTATTATTATTATTATTATTATTATTATTATTATTATTATTATTATTATTATTATTATTATTATTATTATTGTTGTTGTTGTTGTTGTTGTTGTAAAGTATTGACCACCACATGCAGTATTGACCAGCTGTCAGTCTCAGAGACCGTCCGACACTTGGGGCAATATTCCATATGTTATATTTCAGGGATGAGTTTAGCCACCCTGCGTTACACCCTTCCTTGTGTTGGTGTATCTTTGTGTAGGTGTAGTTAAGGTGTAGGTTAATAAAGGTATTCATTAAACTCCAAGAATATTATGCAGTATACTATATTTATACACGATATTCATTCTCTTTCATGATTCAATATATTCCATCAATATTATTCATTATTAAACACTGAATCCCAAATCCCTCTTTCTTCATTATCACCAGCTCAGGAAAAAGAACCAGTATTTATCATCATTTATCAGGACCTTTGTGCACGTCTTGTCACCCTCTTTAACACAGTCATATAACTACTAGTATCTTTAACTAGACATATCCACACTCCATGACCTCCTAGTACCCATATCACCAGTCTTAACACCTGCCACTAGCCTTATCACCAGTCTTAACACCAGCCACTAGCCTTATCACCAGTCTTAACACCTGCCACTAGCCTTATCACCAGTCTTAACACCTGCCACTAGCCTTATCACCAGTCTTAACACCTGCCACTAGCTTATCACCAGTCTTAACACCTGCCACTAGCCTTATCACCAGTCTTAACACCTGCCACTAGCCTTATCACCAGTCTTAACACCTCCCACTCGCTTATCACCAGTCCTAACACCTGCAGATAGTGGTTTTATTAGCGGCGATAAAGCTAAGAAACTTAGTATGATTTATAAGTCTTATCTAACTTCAGGTATACGTATTCGTGAGTAAATCCCCTTCTTAATCCCATTAAATCCTATTAAATCCCGTTAAAGTAGATCGATTTTCGTTCAATGGTCGACTGATTGAATTTAATCCTTAACCCACCTTTCCTCCCCCTTCCTCTCTTCTCACCTCTCTTCTCACCTTTCTTTCCTCCCCTTCCCTCCCTCTTCTCACCTTTCTTTCCTCCTCATCCCTCTCTCTTCTCACCTCTCTTTCCTCCTCATCCCTCTCTCTTCTCACCTCTCTTTCCTCCCCTTCCCTCCCTCCCTCTACCATATGGGATTCAGTGCATCATGTACAGTATAGAGTCTGGGGCGATACGTGAATTCTAACAGGATCCTGAATTAATTGACTTAATTTATAAACAAAAGAATCCAAACCTGTTATTATCTGCTCATAACCCCACGTACATGTCCTCAACTGGTAGAATTATATAGGTGTCTCCAAACTCCACTTGTAAACTCGAGATCAGAGTTTAAGGTGTAAGAATTGTTTTCATTATTCGGGATTTGTCGACACTATAAGGTAATTGGATCTGTTATTGGGACGTCTCTGTTTCTTCTTCTGTTTTAAGGTCTATCAACACTATGAGACTCAAATTCTGGGGTTGATGGATTGACTAGGGGTATCATAATACTCGGACACGCTGGAGTAGATGGGAATGTTGGAGTAGGTGGTAGGATTTCTGGAGACTGGGTTCAAGCTGTTGGAGTATTTGAGGGGAGTGTTGGAGTAGTAGCTGGGGGTATCTGATGAATAATCCTGAGTCTTGGAACGAAACTGATTGTAAAAGTAACCCCTGAGAGTTAGGTAGTCCGGGGCGGTGAGGGCGCTATGGACGTCGGAGTAACTGTGCAGAGAGATGTCAGTGTCGGGAGGGAGATGAACGTCTGACGGGTACACAGTTTTGGTGTAGTCAAGATTGTTAGGAGACACCATGGAGCTGAACACATTGTTGATATTGGAGAGACCAGAGCTGTTATGCTTGCTGGGTATACCTGAAGAAGTATTAACATAGTCCAGAGGGTTATAGAATCTTGGGTTCCTGTAAAGACTAAGATCGTTGTATGCCTCTGGGGGGCTGAAGTAACCAGGGGTGTTGGAGGAGCCATCGAGGTTGTTGGGGGAGGAATTTGAAGCGTTGGAGAATCCGTGAATGGTGGTGTATCTTGAAGCTCCGCGAATGTAGGAGGAAGGTCGAGGGTCGCTTGGGTATTCGTGGGTGAGATAATGTTGAAGAGCAACCAGGAAGGCTGTAGAGGTACGCCGACGGAGGTACCCCAAGTGGCTCCCCTGACGAGGAGATGATACTCCCCTCCTACGGGAAAACCTCTTACGCTGTGTCGTCACCTGGAGGATAGGAATGAATAACATTATTTACTTCAGGGTAACACCTCTTGATAGTGGTTATGATGTAGTGAATAAATCAGGTTTTAGGGGACACACAGTATGAACAAGGGAGTCAGGTGAAGAATCTTTCCACCGTTCGTAATATTTTTTATTAATTTTTTTTTATTTTTTTACTTTTTTTTTAAGATTTCATTGCCGAGTATGAACAGTCGAATGTAACTACTGTACATTCTAAGCTTGTTGGGTGAGATAGAGTATATCGCATAGACTGGGTTGGTTACTTTTATTTTGTAGAACCTCTATTTAACGGATTATATGAAGGGGGAGTCCATTAGAGCAAGGTTTCGTTAGATATGAATCCTCCAGATAACGTAGAGCCAATTTTCACTCTTGTATATTGTCTATTCTTGAGGTAAGGATTGTGGGGAACTAAGGAACAACTTTTCTATGCGATGTTGTCTACAGCATGACTTATTGACTTAGGTGAGAAGAGAAAGTAATACATATCAGTCAACAGAAGAATAAAAATACCACCAACAAGTAAAGTTACAACAGTATTTAGGAATATTGTACTAGTTACCCCGGTAAGAGTTCAGTTTTCTCTTAGGATTACATGGAAGAAAATAGGTAAAGTTTAGGAGTAACTAATTTATCTCAGTGGCTCTATTTTCTCTCTCCATCATGGTAAAAACATGTAAGGGAGGGGAGGAGCATCATTACTGCCATGCGTACAATAATGCGTGTGTATATCCTTCTAAAGCGCTGTCATAACTTCCTCTTAGTTAATAACATAACCGAGATGTGGGGGAAAAGGGAAAAAAAACTCACTTGCCTAAAATTATCTTAAAACTATCACAAAACACAAGAGGGTATATGAAATCACAGTCGACTATACTGACCACATTGATATCGTTGTTGATAGGAGAGTTGTTGTGTCCATTCTGAAGCACTCCGCGCATCATGACGAGGGCGCGGCGGGTGCGGGAGATCAAGATACACATCCACAGGCGTCGGCCCCCACAGGAGGCTTCATGCAACAAGTGCAGTGTTGTTACCTCCTCCAGGACCGGCGTCAGTTGTTCCCTGTTGTTTATCATCACCGTCAGCCGACACAGTAGGTTCTCTAGCATCCCCGTCAGCCTAGGAAGACACAGGTAGTGGGTGTTGAGGTGGGAGACACAGGTAGTGGGTATTGAGGTGGGAGACACAGGTAGTGGGTGTTGAGGTGGGAGACACAGGTAGTGGGTGTTGAGGTGGGAGACACAGGTAGTGGGTGTTGAGGTGGGAGACACAGGTAGTGGGTTTTGAGGTACAAGACTCAGGTAGTGGGTTTTGAGGTTAGAGACACAGGTAGTGGGTATTGAGGTACAAGACACAGGTAGTGGGTTTTGAGGTAGAAGACACAGGTAGTGGGTGTTGAGGTGGGAGGCACAGGTAGTGGGTGACACAGAAAAGAAAGTACCTCTTGACTGCATACAAAAAAGAAAGTGTCAATTTAGAAAAGTTTCCTTCAAGAAAACATTGTAGCATGTGATCAAGAACTTACCTCTGTGCTCTCACTACCCTAACCTAACCTAACTTAACCCCTGCACGCCTGGTCACTGTCAGGTCAAGCATTCGTTGCACTTTCACGCCACAGGTACTACCGTGACAGGAAATATACACACCTCATGTATCGCTCAGAATGCTTAAAGTATACATAATACACCTACTCATGTATAGCTTAGAACACATACAGTATACATCATACACCTTCCCATGTATAGCTTAGAACACATACAGTATACATCATACACCTTCCCATGTATAGCTTAGAACACATACAGTATACATCATACACCTTCCCATGTATAGCTTAGAACACATACAGTATACATCATACACCTTCCCATGTATAGCTTAGAACACATACAGTATACATCATACACCTTCCCATGTATACCTTGAATAACTTCGCCATATTTCAATCAGGGAACATTTTAAACTTGGGCGTCAAACAATTCCCCTCAGTGACTAATACTGTTTTACTCTGGTTCAATATTATAAGTTAGGGTTCTTAGATACAGCTGAAGTCACCCTGCTAGAACAAAATTCGTTCTTTTATGTTCCTCTATAAATAAATGACCAGGTGAATGCCTTTAAATACCCGTAATTAAGCTTTCTTTATAAACTTTTTTATTCAGTGTACAGGAAAAAAGTCAAGTTGTTTTTGTTTTAAGTTTCCTGAGATGGGTATGTATGTGTCTGTGTTCCTCCTCTACCATGTAACACACACACACACACACACACACACACACACACACACACACACACACAATCTGTTGTTTTACTGTGTGTGTGTGTGTGTGTGTCCCTGTACTTACCGCCTGAGGTGAAGGCTGAACTGACTCGTCTCGTGGCTGCAAAAGGTGTTAGTGTGGTCGGTGTTGTTGATGGCGAAGTACAGGTGCGCCGCCAAGTAGATCAACTCTCGATGCATTTGTCTGAAGGCATCTTGTTGCTGCAGGTGATGGACAGGTGAGGTAATGGACAGGTGACAGGAGAATCTTACATGGTAGACAGGTGAGGTGATGGACAGGTGAGGTGATGGGCAGGTGAGGTGATGCACAGGTGAAAGAGTCCTAATATACAGTAAGCACAGACAGTATAACACTCAATCGTCTTCAGCAGACAGAGAATGCTAACAAACATCCCAGTAACTATCCCCCAATTTCACAAGATATTTCTCCAATTTCACAAGATATTTCCCCAATTTCACAAGATATTTCCCCAATTTGCCCAACTCACTGTGGTATCGTCGATGACAGGTAGAGCGGGCAGCGTGTTCAGGGAGAACGGTGTGTTACACTCGTTGTTCTGTGGAGTGTCCAAGAAATAATATCATTAAGAGTCGGATATTACTTACAGTCGTCTGCACTTATATGTGGCACCGCTGTGTTTGTTTATATCGTTAGTAAAACTCCCGGAGTGGCCCTTAAGGCACCTCGCAATAGTAAATAAACATTCCTACAGAGTTGTCACATTTCACAAAACGCACCAGCCTGTGTACCAGGAATAAGTGCAGGCGACTGTACAAGGAGAGAGTAAAAATAGTAAACACAATTTGTGAACTCTTAGAAAAAATAAACGTCAGAAATGTGAGAAAAAATTCATTTGTACTCACCAAGATGGTCTGGATACTGATGAGGGACGCGTTAGCGAAGTGTATGTTGCTGTAGGCTACCCGACGCACCTGGTCGAAAGATAATGCAGGATTCTGATCGTCACCTCCTTCGGGATTCTGCTCCTGGAGGTGGCAGGGGTTGGTGAGGTAACCAGAGACCCCCGGGATGGATACCACGGCCACTGTGCCATCCTGCCCTCTCACCACCACCAGCAGGAACAGACCTGTAGCAGATGGCAGGGAGCTGAACACACCTATAGCAGATGGCAGGGAGCTGAACACACCTATAGCAGATGGCAGGGAGCTGAACACACCTATAGCAGATGGCAGGGAGCTGAACACACCTATAGCAGATGGCAGGGAGCTGAACACACCTATAGCAGATGGCAGGGAGCTGGTTTCATACCTTTTTTATGTCTCTCTTTCTGGTCTGACGTTTCTTTCGTTCTTATTCTCAGTCAGACGATAACCACACCAAAACAAACACCCACAAACGCCTCTTCTATTAAAGCACTACTGGAGGTGGGTAGAGCTTCACCTCCCAGCTGTTGTCTCTTGTAATCTATGTCGTGTATGGTCCATCAGGTACACTAATAAGTTCACCAGGTGTGTCTCCGTCAATCAGAGGTTTGTTGTGTCATACTTTATTACGGGAGGTTACCGTGCATCACAGCAACATGCGTTCTGATGGAGTGTACATCGGACTCCTGGATACTTTCTGGTTGTTTGTAGTTGAATTCCTCAACTGTTAGTCTATCCAAATGACTAAGAACAAAGACGAGTTTTAATTTCATCTTATATCTTTCCGTAACGACATTGTTGACGCCTCGTTTAGTCATTAGGATGGTTTATGTAGCTGTCAATGGGAATTTATTCAGTCTTTCTCGTATGTTTAAACTCATAAACAAACTATGACCTTTACTGTATATAAGGGGGTTCTCTTAACCCCTTGTGCACGGGCTGAATAAACTCATCTGGCATTGACCAAATATTAATAATGTCCCGGGAGTGAATAGGATAAAGGTGTGCCTGCCTGACTACCTGTCGCTTCTGGTTAATGATTACAACAGCTCGCTCTCACGGGTAAATGTCCGACAGTCATGAAGGGTAAAATATCTACGTGTTGTGTGAGTGAGTGTTGTAAGTCCCTCTGTTGTATGTTGTGAGTGTTGTAAGTCCCTCTGTTGTATGTTGTGAGTGTTGTAAGTCCCTCTGTTGTATGTTGTGAGTGTTGTAAGTCCCTCTGTTGTATGTTGTGAGTGTTGTAAGTCCCTCTGTTGTATGTTGTGAGTGTTGTAAGTCCCTCTGTTGTATGTTGTGAGTGTTGTAAGTCCCTCTGTTGTATGTTGTGAGTGTTGTAAGTCCCTCTGTTGTATGTTGTGAGTATTGTAAGTCCCTCTGTTGTATGTTGTGAGTGTTGTAAGTCCCTCATGTTGTGAGTGTTGTAAGTCCCTCTGTTGTATGTTGTGAGGGTTGTAAGTCCCTCTGTTGTATGTTGTGAGTGTTGTAAGTCCCTCTGTTGTATGTTGTGAGTGTTGTAAGTCCCTCTGTTGTATGTTGTGAGTGTTGTAAGTCCCACTGTTGTATGTTGTGAGGGTTGTAAGTCCCTCTGTTGTATGTTGTGAGGGTTGTAAGTCCCACTGTTGTATGTTGTGAGTGTTGTAAGTCCCTCTGTTGCATGTTGTGAGTGTTGTAAGTCCCTCTGTTGTTAGAATACTGTACAGGAAAATGGTTAATGTTGGAACTTTTATCTTGTGATGTTTTGTTTGTGATGTTGAATTGAATTGAAACAGTTTATTTAACCAGACAAACACAGATACAGAGCGGATAATAATAACAATATTAACATGGCTGAGCCAGTTGAGAACCTGAGCTGCACCTGATATATACTATAGAATTATCTCAAGGAAGTATTATGTAACATTTAGTAACATCTGGAATAGTACAATAGCATGGTGGTAATAAGAACATCTCATAATGTTACCACGGCTGAAGAGTTCTGAAAAATAACCATCTTTATCATGTATACAACAATGTTCGTTTTAAGGCTCGTCCAGACTTAGCTCGTTCACGTTCGTTGAAGCTCCTTTTCGTTCGCTGACACACACACACACACACACCGACTGCTGTACGTATTTGCATGGTCTCGGATTCACAGGTTTTATGAATCTCAGGGCTCATGGATGGGAGAGTCGATCGATCCACGTCTACATACACAGTATACACAAACACACATACACTCAGAGGAAAATTACCAAGAAAAATTCAACAAACGTAATTATTTCTTACCTGTTAGAAGCAGCGGTTGTAATGCCATTTGGTGAGAAGTTTTGCTCAGTTTACAGGCAGATGAAGAAGCTAGGAGCGATACCTAACGAAAACTTCCTAAACAACGTTACTGGTTTCTAAATTCTTCAACTCAATGACACCATTTTTTTGGTAATCTCGCTTTTAATATACATATATATTTTTTATGTATTTAGAATTTATTACTTCCGTGTTATTAAGTGACTTATTATTCTTCCATAGGTTAAAATATTGAGAGAATTGCGTTAGTTTTACTGGAACCAACGTTACTTTAGTGTAGTGGCGTATGAAGGTGTCCACGATAATATGTTGGTTCTGGGAGAGATGTATTGTTGTATAAGTTACCAACGAGACGACAACCCACTTCTGCCGCCACGCTCGCCCTTCAAGCTCGAAGTGAGGACGATCCTACGACGACACTGATCTTATAAACCCTGCTGGAAGGCCCCGACACACACACACACACACACACACACACACACAGTAGGATCTATCTTGTAAAGCCGACAGTGGTCAACTTCCTGCGTGTGCCCGCTGCCTCCATCACATATATTACTCTTATAATTTAAACCACATGAACTATGGGGATATAGGCGGGTGTAAGCCAAAGCGGAGGGAACTGAATTACTGTATATGTATTATGCTGAGAGAGAGAGAGAGACAGTGTGTGTTCCTGATCCTTTGAGCTGGCTTAGACTGTGAGGAATTGTTTTAGGAGATTCTATGTTGTTACATATGTTTTAGCTCTTTTTAATAATAATAATAATAATAATAATAATAATAATAATAATAATAATAATAATAATAATAGTAATAATGCATTTTCCACTCTTTGAAGCCTGTATGGCATTACGAAAATTGTGACCAAGTTCCAGGTTGCTGGTCTGGCTTTCTGTCTCATTTACACACAATTGCAGGGTCTCAATTGTTGTTCTTACTTAACAACACAACATACATATATTGTTTCTCACTTTTGATCTTTTTTCACTTCTATTGCGCCTTCCATCGCTTCTTCTTCTTCTTCTTCTTCTTCTTCTCTCAGTTAAAATACTCTCGTTACCTCCACACCGACCATGAACCGCTCTCTGCCAGACACTCTTTTCCTTCATCCCATTTATATTTTTGTGTTTGTTATTCCATGTTACACACCCAACATACTGTTCTCAAACACTGGCTCATTTAAGATGTACACACACACTCCAAAAAGTATCTATACGCAGGGTGATCGATGAATTACATAATGAACACTGTGACTCCTGTTGTCTCGGTAGGGTTGTCAAAATCTTTCGTCCGTTGTGTCATATTGTCTCTAACAATAATCGCACCAGAGCTGGATACAAACAATAAAATAAAATTATGATATTCAACTAAACGCAAGTCTTTTTCAAATACAATTTACCTTATTATGCTAATGTATATACGGGGATTGAAGGGATTTCCTACGCGTGTGTGTGTGTGTGTGTGTGTGTGTGTGTGTGTGTGTGTGTGTGTGTGTGTGTCCGGGGCCTTCCAGCAGGGTTTATAAGATCAGTGTCGTCGTAGGATCGTCCTCACTTCGAGCTTGAAGGGCGAGCGTGGCGGCAGAAGTGGGTTGTCGTCTCGTTGGTAACTTATACAACAAAACATCTCTCCCAGAACCAACATATTATCGTGGACACCTTCATACGCCACTTCACTAAAGTAACGTTGGTTCCAGTAAAACTAACGCATTTCTCTCAATATTTCAACCTATGAAAGAATAATAAGTCACTTAATAACACGGAAGTAATAAATTCTAAATACATAAAAATTATATATGTATATTAAAAGCGAGATTACCAAAAAAAGGGTGTCATTGAGTCGAAGAATTTAGAAACCAGTAACGTTGTTTAGAAAGTTTTCGTTAGGTATCGCTCCTAGCTTCTTCATCTGCCTGTAAACTGAGCAAAACTTCTCACCAAATGGCATTACAGCCGCTGCTTCTAACAGGTAAGAAATAATTACGTTTGTTGAATTTTTCTTGGTAATTTTCCTGTGAGTGTATGTGTGTTTGTGTATACTGTGTATGTAGACGTGGATCGATCGACTCTCCCATCCATGAGCCCTGAGATTCATAAAACCTGTGAATCCGAGACCATGCAAATACGTACAGCAGTCGGTGTGTGTGTGTGTGTGTGTGTGTGTGTGTCAGCGAACGAAAAGGAGCTTCAACGAACGTGAACGAGCTAAGTCTGGACGAGCCTTAAAACGAACACTGTTGTATACATGATAAAGATGGTTATTTTTCAGAACTCTTCAGCCGTGGTAACATTATGAGATGTTGTTATTACCACCATGCTATTGTACTATTCCAGATGTTACTAAATGTTACATAATACTTCCTTGAGATAATTCTATAGTATATATCAGGTGCAGCTCAGGTTCTCAACTGGCTCAGCCATGTTAATATTGTTATTATTATCCGCTCTGTATCTGTGTTTGTCTGGTTAAATAAACTGTTTCAATTCAATTCAACATCACAAACAAAACATCGCAAGATAAAAGTTCCAACATTAACCATTTTCCTGTACAGTATTCTAACAACAGAGGGACATACAACACTCGCAACATACAACAGAGGGACTTACAACACTCACAACATACAACAGTGGGACTTACAACACTCACAACATACAACAGTGGGACTTACAACACTCACAACATGCAACAGAGGGACTTACAACACTCACAACATACAACAGAGGGACTTACAACACTCACAACATACAACAGAGGGACTTACAACACTCACAACATACAACAGAGGGACTTACAACACTCACAACATACAACAGAGGGACTTACAACACTCACAACATACAACAGAGGGACTTACAACACTCACAACATACAACAGTGGGACTTACAACACTCACAACATACAACAGAGGGACTTACAACACTCACAACATACAACAGAGGGACTTACAACACTCACAACATACAACAGAGGGATTCTACAACACCACAACATACAACAGAGAGAGACTCTACAACACTCACAACATACAACAGAGAGATTCTACAACACTCCACAACATACAACAGAGAGACTTACAACACTCACACAACATGTACAACAGAGGGATCCCACAACACTACAACATACAAATAGGAGGGACTTACAACACTCACAACATACAACAGAGGGACTTACAACACTCACAACATACAACAGTGGGACTTACAACACTCACAACATACAACAGTGGGACTTACAACACTCACAACATACAACAGTGGGACTTACAACACTCACAACATACAACAGTGGGACTTACAACACTCACAACATGCAACAGTGGGACTTACAACACTCATACAACATACAACAGAGGGACTTTAATACAACCCTCACAACATACAACAGAGAGACTTCTGCATAACCCTCACAACATACAACAGTGGGACTTACAACACTCACAACATGCAACAGTGACTTACAACACTCACAACATACAACAGTGGGACTTATATAACCCTCACAACATACAACAGTGGGACTTACAACACTCACAACATGCAACAGTGGATCTCTACAACACTCACAACATACAACAGTGGGACTTACAACCCTCACAACATACAACAGTGGGACTTACAACCCTCACAACATACAACAGTGGGACTTACAACACTCGCAACATACAACAGAGGGACTTACAACACTCACAACATACAACAGAGGGACTTACAACACTCACAACAAACAACAGAGGGACTTACAACACTCGCAACATACAACAGAGGGACTTACAATACTCACAACATACAACAGAAGGACTTACAACACTCACTCACACAACACGTAGATATTTTACCCTTCATGACTGTCGGACATTTACCCGTGAGAGCGAGCTGTTGTAATCATTAACCAGAGGCGACAGGTAGTCAGGCAGGCACACCTTTATCCTATTCACTCCCGGGACATTATTAATATTTGGTCAATGCCAGATGAGTTTATTCAGCCCGTGCACAAGGGGTTAAGAGAACCCCCTTATATACAGTAAAGGTCACAGTTTGTTTATGAGTTTAAACATACGAGAAAGACTGAATAAATTCCCATTGACAGCTACATAAACCATCCTAATGACTAAACGAGGCGTCAACAATGTCGTTACGGAAAGATATAAGATGAAATTAAAACTCGTCTTTGTTCTTAGTCATTTGGATAGACTAACAGTTGAGGAATTCAACTACAAACAACCAGAAAGTATCCAGGAGTCCGATGTACACTCCATCAGAACGCATGTTGCTGTGATGCACGGTAACCTCCCGTAATAAAGTATGACACAACAAACCTCTGATTGACGGAGACACACCTGGTGAACTTATTAGTGTACCTGATGGACCATACACGACATAGATTACAAGAGACAACAGCTGGGAGGTGAAGCTCTACCCACCTCCAGTAGTGCTTTAATAGAAGAGGCGTTTGTGGGTGTTTGTTTTGGTGTGGTTATCGTCTGACTGAGAATAAGAACGAAAGAAACGTCAGACCAGAAAGAGAGACATAAAAAAGGTATGAAACCAGCTCCCTGCCATCTGCTATAGGTGTGTTCAGCTCCCTGCCATCTGCTACAGGTCTGTTCCTGCTGGTGGTGGTGAGAGGGCAGGATGGCACAGTGGCCGTGGTATCCATCCCGGGGGTCTCTGGTTACCTCACCAACCCCTGCCACCTCCAGGAGCAGAATCCCGAAGGAGGTGACGATCGGAATCCTGCATTATCTTTCGACCAGGTGCGTCGGGTAGCCTACAGCAACATACACTTCGCTAACGCGTCCCTCATCAGTATCCAGACCATCTTGGTGAGTACAAATGAATTTTTTCTCACATTTCTGACGTTTATTTTTTCTAAGAGTTCACAAATTGTGTTTACTATTTTTACTCTCTCCTTGTACAGTCGCCTGCACTTATTCCTGGTACACAGGCTGGTGCGTTTTGTGAAATGTGACAACTCTGTAGGAATGTTTATTTACTATTGCGAGGTGCCTTAAGGGCCACTCCGGGAGTTTTACTAACGATATAAACAAACACAGCGGTGCCACATATAAGTGCAGACGACTGTAAGTAATATCCGACTCTTAATGATATTATTTCTTGGACACTCCACAGAACAACGAGTGTAACACACCGTTCTCCCTGAACACGCTGCCCGCCCTACCTGTCATCGACGATACCACAGTGAGTTGGGCAAATTGGGGAAATATCTTGTGAAATTGGAGAAATATCTTGTGAAATTGGGGAAATATCTTGTGAAATTGGGGAAATATCTTTTGAAATTGGGGGATAGTTACTGGGATGTTTGTTAGCATTCTCTGTCTGCTGAAGAAGATTGAGTGTTATACTGTCTGTGCTTACTGTATATTAGGACTCTTTCACCTGTGCATCACCTCACCTGCCCATCACCTCACCTGTCCATTACCTCACCTGTCTACCATGTAAGATTCTCCTGTCACCTGCCCATCACCTCACCTGCCCATCACCTCACCTGCCCATCACCTCACCTGTCCATTACCCCACCTGTCCATCACCTCACCTGTCTACCATGTAAGATTCTCCTGTCACCTGTCCATTACCTCACCTGTCCATCACCTGCAGCAACAAGATGCCTTCAGACAAATGCATCGAGAGTTGATCTACTTGGCGGCGCACCTGTACTTCGCCATCAACAACACCGACCACACTAACACCTTTTGCAGCCACGAGACGAGTCAGTTCAGCCTTCACCTCAGGCGGTAAGTACAGGGACACACACACACACACACACAGTAAAACAACAGATTGTGTGTGTGTGTGTGTGTGTGTGTGTGTGTGTGTGTGTGTGTGTGTGTGTGTGTGTGTGTGTGTGTGTGTGTGTGTGTGTGTGTGTGTGTGTGTGTGTGTGTGTGTGTGTGTGTGTTACATGGTAGAGGAGGAACACAGACACATACATACCCATCTCAGGAAACTTAAAACAAAAACAACTTGACTTTTTTCCTGTACACTGAATAAAAAAGTTTATAAAAAAAGCTTAATTACGGGTATTTAAAGGCATTCACCTGGTCATTTATTTATAGAGGAACATAAAAGAACGAATTTTGTTCTAGCAGGGTGACTTCAGCTGTATCTAAGAACCCTAACTTATAATATTGAACCAGAGTAAAACAGTATTAGTCACTGAGGGGAATTGTTTGACGCCCAAGTTTAAAATGTTCCCTGATTGAAATATGGCGAAGTTATTCAAGGTATACATGGGAAGGTGTATGATGTATACTGTATGTGTTCTAAGCTATACATGGGAAGGTGTATGATGTATACTGTATGTGTTCTAAGCTATACATGAGTAGGTGTATTATGTATACTTTAAGCATTCTGAGCGATACATGAGGTGTGTATATTTCCTGTCACGGTAGTACCTGTGGCGTGAAAGTGCAACGAATGCTTGACCTGACAGTGACCAGGCGTGCAGGGGTTAAGTTAGGTTAGGTTAGGGTAGTGAGAGCACAGAGGTAAGTTCTTGATCACATGCTACAATGTTTTCTTGAAGGAAACTTTTCTAAATTGACACTTTCTTTTTTGTATGCAGTCAAGAGGTACTTTCTTTTCTGTGTCACCCACTACCTGTGCCTCCCACCTCAACACCCACTACCTGTGTCTTCTACCTCAAAACCCACTACCTGTGTCTTGTACCTCAATACCCACTACCTGTGTCTCTAACCTCAAAACCCACTACCTGAGTCTTGTACCTCAAAACCCACTACCTGTGTCTCCCACCTCAACACCCACTACCTGTGTCTCCCACCTCAACACCCACTACCTGTGTCTCCCACCTCAACACCCACTACCTGTGTCTCCCACCTCAATACCCACTACCTGTGTCTCCCACCTCAACACCCACTACCTGTGTCTCCCACCTCAATACCCACTACCTGTGTCTCCCACCTCAATACCCACTACCTGTGTCTCCCACCTCAACACCCACTACCTGTGTCTCCCCATAAATACCCCTCCCACCTCAATGCCACTACCTGTGTCTCCCTCTTCCCATCTCCACCTCAATGCCCCACACTACCTGTCCCTCGCACCACTACCTGTCTCCCTCAATACCCACTACCTGTCTCCCACCTAAATACCCACTACCTGTGTCTCCCACCTCAACACCCACTCCCTGTGTCTCCCACCTCAACACCCACTACCTGTGTCTCCCACCTCAACACCCACTACCTGTGTCTCCCACCTCAACACCCACTACCTGTGTCTTCCTAGGCTGACGGGGATGCTAGAGAACCTACTGTGTCGGCTGACGGTGATGATAAACAACAGGGAACAACTGACGCCGGTCCTGGAGGAGGTAACAACACTGCACTTGTTGCATGAAGCCTCCTGTGGGGGCCGACGCCTGTGGATGTGTATCTTGATCTCCCGCACCCGCCGCGCCCTCGTCATGATGCGCGGAGTACTTCAGAATGGACACGACAACTCTCCTATCAACAACGATATCAATGTGGTCAGCATAGTCGTCTGTGATTTCATATACCCTCTTGTGTTTTGTGATAGTTTTAAGATAATTTTAGGCAAGTGAGTTTTTTTTCCCTTTTCCCCCACATCTCGGTTATGTTATTACCTAAGAGGAAGCTATGACAGCGCTTTAGAAGGATAAACATACGCATTATTGTACGCATGGCAGTAATGATGCCCCTCCCCTCCCTCACATGTTTTTACCATGATGGAGAGAGAAAATAGAGCCACTGAGATAAATTAGTTACTCCTAAACTTTACCCATTTTCTTCCATGTAATTTTAAGAGAAAACTGAACTCTTAACGGGGTAACTAGTACAATATTCCTAAATACTGTTGTAACTTTACTTGTTGGTGGTATTTTTATTCTTCTGTTGACTGATATGTATTACTTTCTCTTCTCACCTAAGTCAATAAGTCATGCTGTAGACAACATCGCATAGAAAAGTTGTTCCTTAGTTCACCACAATCCTTACCTCAAGAATAGACAATATACAAGAGTGAAAATTGGCTCTACGTTATCTGGAGGATTCATATCTAACGAAACCTTGATCTAATGGACTCCCCCTTCATATAATCCGTTAAATAGAGGTTCTACAAAATAAAAGTAACCAACCCAGTCTATGCGATATACTCTATCTCACCCAACAAGCTTAGAATGTACAGTAGTTACATTCGACTGTTCATACTCGGCAATGAAATCTTAAAAAAAAAGTAAAAAAATAAAAAAAAAAATAAAAAATATTACGAACGGTGGAAAGATTCTTCACCTGACTCCCTTGTTCATACTGTGTGTCCCCTAAAACCTGATTTATTCACTACATCATAACCACTATCAAGAGGTGTTACCCTGAAGTAAATAATGTTTTTCATTCCTATCCTCCAGGTGACGACACAGCGTAAGAGGTTTTCCCGTAGGAGGGGAGTACCATCTCCTCGTCAGGGGAGCCACTTGGGGTACCTCCGTCGGCGTACCTCTACAGCCTTCCTGGTTGCTCTTCAACATTATCTCACCCACGAATACCCAAGTGACCCTCGACCTTCCTCCTACATTCGCGGAGCTTCAAGATACACCACCATTCACGGATTCTCCAACGCTTCAAATTCCTCCCCCAACAACCTCGATGGCTCCTCCAACACCCCTGGTTACTTCAGCCCCCCAGAGGCATACAACGATCTTAGTCTTTACAGGAACCCAAGATTCTATAACCCTCTGGACTATGTTAATACTTCTTCAGGTATACCCAGCAAGCATAACAGCTCTGGTCTCTCCAATATCAACAATGTGTTCAGCTCCATGGTGTCTCCTAACAATCTTGACTACACCAAAACTGTGTACCCGTCAGACGTTCATCTCCCTCCCGACACTGACATCTCTCTGCACAGTTACTCCGACGTCCATAGCGCCCTCACCGCCCCGGACTACCTAACTCTCAGGGGTTACTTTTACAATCAGTTTCGTTCCAAGACTCAGGATTATTCATCAGATACCCCCACCTACTACTCCAACACTCCCCTCAAATACTCCAACAGCTTGAACCCAGTCTCCAGAAATCCTACCACCTACTCCAACATTCCCATCTACTCCAGCGTGTCCGAGTATTATGATACCCCTAGTCAATCCATCAACCCCAGAATTTGAGTCTCATAGTGTTGATAGACCTTAAAACAGAAGAAGAAACAGAGACGTCCCAATAACAGATCCAATTACCTTATAGTGTCGACAAATCCCGAATAATGAAAACAATTCTTACACCTTAAACTCTGATCTCGAGTTTACAAGTGGAGTTTGGAGACACCTATATAATTCTACCAGTTGAGGACATGTACGTGGGGTTATGAGCAGATAATAACAGGTTTGGATTCTTTTGTTTATAAATTAAGTCAATTAATTCAGGATCCTGTTAGAATTCACGTATCGCCCCAGACTCTATACTGTACATGATGCACTGAATCCCGTATGGTAGAGGGAGGGAGGGAAGGGGAGGAAAGAGAGGTGAGAAGAGAGAGGGATGAGGAGGAAAGAAAGGTGAGAAGAGGGAGGGAAGGGGAGGAAAGAAAGGTGAGAAGAGAGAGGGAAGGAGGAAAGGTGGGTAAAGGATTAAATTCAATTAGTCGACCATTGAACGAAAATCGATCTACTTTAACGGGATTTAATAGGATTTAATGGGATTAAGAAGGGGATTTACTCACGAATACGTATACCTGAAGTTAGATAAGACTTATAAATCATACTAAGTTTCTTAGCTTTATCGCCGCTAATAAAACCACTATCTGCAGGTGTTAGGACTGGTGATAAGCTAGTGGTAGGTGTTAAGACTGGTGATAAGGCTAGTGGCAGGTGCTAAGACTGGTGATAAGGCTAGTGGCAGGTGTTAAGACTGGTGATAAGGCTAGTGGCAGGTGTTAAGACTGGTGATAAGGCTAGTGGCAGGTGTTAAGACTGGTGATAAGGCTAGTGGCTGGTGTTAAGACTGGTGATAAGCTAGTGGCAGGTGTTAAGACTGGTGATAAGGCTAGTGGCAGGTGTTAAGACTGGTGATAAGGCTAGTGGCAGGTGTTAAGACTGGCGATAAGGCTAGTGGCAGGAGTTAAGATTGGTGATAAGGCTAGTGGCAGGTGTGAAGGCTGGTGGCAGTGTGTAAGACTGCGATAAGGCTAGTGGCAGGGTAAGACTGGTGATAAGGCTAGTGGCAGGTGTTAAGAGTAAAGCAGACTGGCGATAAGGCTAGGTGTAAGACTGGTGATATGGCAGGTTAGTGTGTAAGACTGGTGATAAGGCTAGTGGCAGGTGTTAAGACTGGTGATAAGGCTGGTGGCAGGTGTTAGGGACTGTGACAAGGCTAGGGCAGGTGTTAAGACTCGATGGATAAGGCTAGTGGCAGGTGTTAAGACTGGTGATAAGTGTTGGTGGCAGGTGTTAAGACTGGGTGATAAGGCTAGCGGCAGCTGTTAAGACTGGGTGATAAGGCTAGTGGCAGGTGTTAAGATCAAGGAGCAAGGCTAGTGGATGGCAGGTGTTAAGACTGGCGATAGCTGGCAGGTGTTAAGAATGGTGATAAGGCTAGTGACAGGTGTTAAGACTGGTGATAAGGCTAGTGGCAGCTGTTAAGACTGGTGATAAGGCTAGTGGCAGGTGTTAAGATTGGTGATAAGGCTAGTGGCAAGTGTTAAGACTGGCGATAAGGCTAGTGGCAGGTGTTAAGATTGGTGATAAGGCTAGTGTGAAGGCGTGTTGGACTGGTGATAAGGCTAGTGGCAGGTGTTATGACTGGTGATAAGGCTAGTGGCAGGTGTTAAACTGGTGGATAAGGCTAGTGGCAGGTGTTAAGAGTGGCGATAAGGCTAGTGGCAAGTGATAAGGCTAGTGGCAGGTGTTAAGACTGGCGATAAGGCTAGTGGCAGGTGTTGGAAAGAATGGTGATAAGGCTAGTGGCAGGTGTTAAGAGTGGCGATACGGGCTAGTGGCAAAAGTTAAGACTGGGTGATAAGGCGAGTAGCAGGTAAGACTGGTGATAAGCTAGTGGGCAAGTGATAAGGCTAGTGGCATGTTAATGAGACTAGTAGCAGGTGTAAGACTGGTGATAAGGCTAGTGTCTGGTGTTAAGACTGGTGATAAGGCTAGTGGCAGGTGTTAAGACTGGTGATAAGGCTAGTGGCAGGTGTTAAGACTGGTGATATGGGTACTAGGAGGTCATGGAGTGTGGATATGTCTAGTTAAAGATACTAGTAGTTATATGACTGTGTTAAAGAGGGTGACAAGACGTGCACAAAGGTCCTGATAAATGAAGACAAATACTGGTTCTTTTTCCTGAGCTGGAGATAATGAAGAAAGAGGGATTTGGGATTCAGTGTTGAATAATGAATAATATTGATGGAATATATTGAATCATGAAAGAGAATGAATATCGTGTATAAATATAGTATACTGCATAATATTCTTAGAGTTTAATGAATACCTTTATTAACCTACACCTCAACTACACCTACACAAAGATACACCAACACAAGGAAGGGTGTAACGCAGGGTGGCTAAACTCATCCCTGAAATATAACATATGGAATATTGCCCCAAGTGTAGGACGGGCTCTGCGAATGACAGCTGGTCAATACTACATGTGGTGGTCAATACTTTACAACAACAACAATAATAATAATAATAATAATAATAATAATAATAATAATAATAATAATAATAATAATAATAATAATAATAATAATAATAATAATAATAATAATAATAATAATAATAATAATAATAATAACAATAACAATAACAATAACAATAACAATAACAACAACAACAACAATAATAATAATAATAATAATAATAATAATAATAATAATAATAATAATAATAATAATAATAATAATAAAAACTTTCTTAAGATAATTTACTCGACAGACTCCGCTGGTAATACTGGCGACGACAGCGCCTCTACCGACAGCCTAGGTCCCAGATGTAAACATTGGCTCTTGACTGAGGATTATATGTAGAAAGAAAAACACTGTAAATCTGTGAAAACAATCTCGGGGAGTCGTTTTTTTTCTAGCTTTTCAGAGAATGAGGAAAGTTTGTTATTTTAGTTTTGTTTTTTACTTAATTCTATATATTGTTTTATACAAGTTTGTGGGTACATCTGCATAACGATCTGTGTTCATATGTGTGTACGTTCAAGCACACACACACACGGTTGCTTCTACTTGTAAGTGCATCTTTAGGCATGCATGCTTGGGTGTGTAAATAATAATAAATAATGGTTGCCTCTCGTGTAACGAGGAAGGCCGGCCTAAGGGCCCCCTTGGCGTGAATTTGTTTAAGGTGTAGAAGCTGTCGCCAACACAACAACCACACCCTGAGTTAACGAGCTGCATGACCCAGTGTCAAGGAATAGTCCTGGAAGACCGGACAACTCGCCAACTGCACTGGCTAACCACTACCCCGGAACACGATCCACAATTCGATTAACATCCATGTCCCCAATTACTGCTGGGTAAACAGAGGCAAATGGCGTAAAGAAACTTACCCACAGTTTCACCCTGCCCGAGGATAGAACCCGGGTACGCCCACTTGCGAGGCGAGCATACTGACCATTACACCTCAGGTGGCCACTTGTGTATACCAACACCTTCAGCAGGAAGAGTAAACATCAGAGGAGGACACAAGTCAGGAGGGAGAGAGAGAGAGAGAGAGAGAGAGAGGGAGAGAGAGAGAGAGAGAGAGAGAACGTGTATTTGGGTAAGACTTTATCTGATGGTCCTTCTCCGCTTTCATTAACTATGGTATTCCTCCCTCTACCCCCCTCCCTCCACCTCTCGGGACACCTAACCTAAGCTAAATATACTTACTGGCTAGTGTACAGTAGGTCATGATTACTGATGATGTCGAGTAAAATACAAACATTAATATCTCGGAGGATAACACACGCTCAGTACATCTTGGTGGTTAAAATATTCCATTCTCAAGTTTATATCAGACTAAAATTCCTTTGCAAAAACCAACATAAAACTACTGCAGTTAACGTGGCCAAACACTCCTGCCAGAATGACCCCTAAGTGATTCAGGGTTTTTTATAATATATATTTTTTTTAACAAGAACTTCAAAACTGAGGTAAAAAACACAAAAGCATCTGAAATTTTCTTCTGTTTACCAAGTTTATTTACTCAACATCACACAAAGAACTCCCCGTCTGCTAAATAACTCAGTGTTCTTATAAAGGTATATTTTGAAGTGGGTCCTTTTGATGCAAATGTGAACACTTCTTGACGTCGTTTTGAACCTTTGATGCAAATTTGAACGCTTTTTGACGTCGTTTTGACAAGATGAAAGGCCCATTGTCGAGGTCCTGCGAGTAAATATGAGCCACTAATGTGAATATTATATAGCTACAGTACTTAACTCTCCCGGGGGACTAGGGAGTAAGCCTCTTGATCCTCCGTGAAATGTTATTCTGGCGAGGTGTTATTATATTTGTTGTTATTATAGTTGTTATTATTGTTGTTATTATTGTTATTGTTGTTATTGTTGTTGTTATTGTTGTTATTGATGTTATTATTGTTGTTATTGTTGTTGTTATTGTTGTTATTGTTGTTATTATTGTTGTTATTGTCATTGTTGGTGTTATTTGTATTTTTATTATTATTGTTTTTATTTATTATTGTTATTATCTGATGTCCTCTCTATCTGACTGACTATTAAGACTAAAGGAAACTTAACCTAACCTGACCTGACCTGACCTAACGTAACCTAACCTAACCTAATGTACATTTTCCCACTCATAAGAACAGTATTTCCTATCCTAAATTTACCTGTTTCTATCATAAATCTAAATTGATATAATATAAATCATTTTTTGGGCGAGTTTTGTCTGGATATGATAGTTTATATACCTCATTTATATAGTCTGTGTTTATACCTCGACCCTTCCACAGGACATCTCTCAAATCATTAGTTTCTTATTTTGTCTTTCTATTTTTACCAAGATCATATGAGAAAGAACTGACTGACCTCACTATGACGTCACAGCTGGAAAACAACCATCTGGTGACGTCACAGTATCAGGATAAACCAGTGGATGACGACACAACATAACTACTACAGGTTGTGAGGAAAATCCGACCAACGTTACAAATAGTTAGCCGAGACACAAACAAGGGAGGAAGATTAGAGAAACTCATCAGATTGAGCAAGACTATGATGAGATACTTCCCGAGTCTCTCTCTCTCTTTTGACTCCTGCTGCCTCCTCCCCAACCATCCATCGTCCCTTTAAAGAATGGGGATGGAGGAACAGGCAGGGAGAATTAATTGCAACATTCTTATTCATCTTGTTATGTTGCACTTAATGGATGCACCTACGTTAATATTTGGTCACGTCACGTCAGGTCAGGTCAAGGCCAGGTTAGGTATGGTAAGGTCAGGTTAGGTTAGGTTAGGCATGTAAGTTTGATCCCACTGTGGAAACTGA